TGTTAGGAATAATTAGAACAACTTAGGATAGATTAAGTATGCATCATGCATGTGCTATGTAGTTTTAAATGAGTTTTTCTTTATGTATTACGTGTTATGGATGTCATGATTGTTATGTGTTATGAGTGATATGAGTGTTATGATTTTATATGATTAATTAAAAATAAAACTCCCACTGCCTAAATGGTCAGAAGGAAGGGGTCCACCTGCATGAACCTCCACACCATCTGAACTGAGGACAACCACAACATCTTAACAAAACGCAGCCCTATGGCTAACATCGTCATTCTAAAAAATTTATTCTGTATGATTTTTCACACCTTTACCTGACAAAGAAGCCTGTGGAGTTTCGATAGCCTGCAACATGTATATTATGCATTTTGGTTGGTCCAATAAAGGCATCAAAGTTTTATGGATTTTGGATGTTGTTGTACTTTGGATTCAAACAATCATTTGTTTTCACTTTCCTGGTGTTACCCACATTTGTATTTTATGCTGTGAACACGCCATTTTAATTTACAGTAACGTTACTAAAAATGCCCTGTTTTCCAAGCTTGACTATAAATGGTGACATACCAAATTCAGAAACAGATATAGCGCACTTTTTGTAGCCAAATCTTTTGCTGCCATCCTCTGGAGATGACAGTTATTACACATTTTTGCTTGAAAATTTTGGAGGGGGGAAATTACATACTTTTCGGACTATAAATCTCAGAATCCCCTGCCAGTCTGGGAACTGGCCATGTTGGTTGAAATCACTTGGGAGTTATAATCCAATAAAGTAACTTTTCTTAGCCCTCTGTAAAACTGGTAATAATTTTTAAATGATGATGGGATCATAATGTATTGTATCAATCAATGTGACTGGGAAATAAAACGTTAATAGTGTGCATTTTCAAAATTTTATTTCAGAAGCACTGTCCATAAGATGTAGGAAACTCATAATGGAAACTGATCCAAATTTTCTGCTAAGGCAGAAGTGTCCAAAGGTATTTTTTATTCATGTCAATTGTTTTTAAAATGTTGTTGTTGTTGTTGTTGTTGTGTGCTTTCAAGTTGTTTCTGACTTATGGCGACACTAAGATGACACTAAGACACTAAGATCCTATCACAGGATCTTCTTGGCAAGTTTCTTTAGAGGGAGTTTGCCGTTACCATCCTCTGAGGCTGAGAGAGCGTGACTTGCTCAAAGTCACTCAATGGGTTTACATGGCATGGCTGAGCCAGAATTCGAACCCTGGCCTCCAGAGTCATAGTCCAACACTCAAACCACTACACTACAATGGCTTCATTTATGGAGAAAAAAGGGAGATTTCTGCAACAAACAGAATCATCATCTGTATCATCATCAAAAATTATTAGCAAGGGTAAATTATATTGTAGAAATATAATGCTAAAGTCCTGTGCATTCCTATCAGGGGATAAGACCCACTGAATTCAAGGGGGTTGCAGACTGCCAGAAATAGTGCAAATTGAGACCACTTTAAGGGTTAGGGTTAGGGAATCATGGGAACTGTATTTTATTGTGACACCAGAGCTCTCTGACAGAGAAGGTTCAATGTCTCAGAAAAAACAACAACAATTCCCGTGATTCCCTAGCACTAACGCTAACCCTAAAAGTGGACTCAATTTGCGCTATTTCTGGCAGTCTGCAACCCCCCTCAGTCTGCCTTATTTCTGAATAGACACATACAATGTTTTATTAAAGTGTGTGCATAGCCTAAGGATAAAAGCTGGCTTTTTGAGTTTAAATATGAAATTCCAGATTGAACAGTTCCAGCTTTGAGCTGCAAGAAAACAAACAAACAAACAAACAAACAAAGCTAAACAAAAATAATATTCAGCAATACTTTGAATTTATATTTAGGGGAGGACCTAACATTTCAAATCCTGAGCTGCATCCACCCTGCAGAAATAATCCAGTTTGACACCACATTAACTACCACGGCTCAATGGTATGGAATTCTGGGAACTCTGGTTTTGTGAGACATTTAGCCTTCTCTGTCAGAGAGCTCTGGTATCACACTGAACAAATCATCCCAGGATTCCATAGCATTGAGGTATGGCAGTTAAACTGGTATCAAACTGCATCATTTCTGCAGTGCGGATGCAGCCCTAGTTTATCTATAGATCTTTAAACTATATTTTATATTCTTTATGACTTATATTTACATTTATATTCATATTTTATTGATGTCTGTAGGTGTATGTATTTTACTAATGTTCACAGTATGTCTATATCTTAATGTATTTTATGTAGCCATATGAATTTGGGAATATAGTCATTTAATATGGTCATTGGCCGCAATAAAAAATGATCAATCGATTGGTTGACCTTTAAACTTGATTATATACTAATTATATATATACTAATTATATATATATAATTAGTATTCCATGTAGCTGGAATGGGGGGGGGGAGCACCCATGAGCATCCTCTTGAGATTTGTAGTTTTTAAAAGAACAACTGAATGTGTAAATATGCCCTTCATGCTTTATAAAATGGCTGCATCCACACTGCAGAAATAATCCAGTTTGATACCGCTTTAGCTGAAATGGCTCAAGGCTATGGAATTCTGGTGATTGTTTGCCACAACAAACTAGAAGCCTCAGAATTCCATAGCCTTCAGCTGTGGCAGATCAAGCGATGTCAAACTGGATTATTTCTGCAGTGTGGATGCAGCCTAAGAAGACATTTCAACCCAGCCTTTGACAGTGATGTATGGAACAATTGCTTATCACTGTCAAGCAGGCCAGAGAGGGGGAGTGCCCGCCTTTATTGCGTCACCTGCCTGTCTCTCTTCCACAACCAATGGAAGAGGAGGAGGAGAAGGCCTGGTTTGGTTTCCACGGCAACGCGGCCTGCGCTCTGTGCGGTCAACTCTAGCGTAGCGGCGGTTGCTAAGCAACCCTTCTGGCCAAGAGGCCTAGCAGGCCCGAGGCGCTTAATACACCTGAAAGTGGGGCAGGGACAAGACCCGCGCGGGCGCTGCTCACTCAGCCCTCTCGCCCGAGACAAGGAAGAGCCCCCCTGCGACGCGAGGTACAAGGGCCGGGGCTTAGAGGGGTGGGGGCGGGTCTCAGTTTGTGGCTCCCGCCTCGAAACAGTAGCGAGGAAGGGGCAGGGTTTGGAGGCGAAGACGGAGAAGGAGGGAGCGGCATGTGAAACGCGCCCTGCCAACTTTCCGTGAAAATCCTAACAGTGCAGCGGCCCTCCTTCTCTGAA